GTTTCTGTTTCTCAGTAACCAGTCCAACTTGGTCCTCCCAAACCAGAGCTTGTTTTATTTTATCTTTTAAGATGTATTTATTTGTGCATACAGAACTGGGGTACAGGTCAGAGGTGCAGGGGCAGTGAGAAGATTCACCAGAGACAGAGTGGGGAGCAGACCAGTCAGATCGACAAAGTACACTGCTGAGGGGAGCAGCGGGGAGACAGGAGAGGTCTGCTGCACCATGTGGGTCACCTCCTGGGCCGGAATCAAACCCACGCTGAAGTGACTACAGCACTTTAACCTGTAGTGCCACCAGGGAGGGCCCAGGACTTGTTTTAGAAAAAATAAATGCCCAACAGAGTTGCCCTTCACCCAGGCCTGCCCACGAAGATGAGATAGCACAGAGGTGAGGAAATCTGACGCTACCATTTACCAGTTGGGGGCCTCAGGCAACTCTTTGAAACTCAGTTTCTCCATCTGTAGAATGGGTGGATGATAATGGTTCTACATTTGGGGTGGATGTAAGGACAACTGATGGGGCAATAGCAATGCCAAGGGCTTGAACACCCCCCTGGGACTGCTAGGATCGCAATACTGACTACTACTAGTATTCTCCTCAGTCCACACGAAGGCGTGGTTCTGCCTGTGGCTCACAGGACAAGCTCTGAATGGGCGCTGTGCCAGAACTGTTAGGGCAATCGATCCTAACTGGACGCCACAGCACCAAGCACTTAAGGCACAGTAGAGGCAGAATCCTATATTACTGATACCTCCTTAGGGCAAAAACTTTTCAAGCAGGTGGGCGAGGGGAGGGGGCTTCCTGGAGGAGACAGTGCTTCCGGTGCATCTTGCAAGAAAAGGGAAGAGACAGCCAATTGAGGGCCTGATAAGCACTGGCGTGCAGGTGCATAAAGCATGGTGTGTTTGAGGACCTGCTCCTGGCCCTGCATGCCTGGGGTCTGGTGGGATGGGGTGGGGGAGCGGTGGGGGGGCCAGAGAGTGACATTGCAGAGGCAGATGCTGAAAGGCCACTTTGGACTAAAGGAAGGAAGGTAGGGAAGAGGCAGAGGCTAGAAGCCCTGAACTCAACCATACCTGTGGGGATAGAGAAAGGGAAGGCTTGAGAGAGGCTTGCACTTTGTAATTAAGGATTGCATGAAGCAGGGTGGGGAAGGCTTGGTTTTCTGTTTCATGATGAAGGGACAGGGGTCATCGAGATGAGAGAATGAAGGTTTCTGGTTGGGTGACTGAGTTATCCGCAGGTGAGGGGAGATGAGGCCGTCATCAGAGTGAAGTCGCTGCCCTGGGAAGAGGTGAGAGCTAAGAAGAGGGTGACGGGCAGACCTTGCAGGGCGCGCTGAAACCTGAGGGGGTGAACTGAGAGAGAGGAAGGAGAACCAGGAAGCTCTCATCTTCCCTCCATTGCGCCATGCCCCTCTAGGAATCCAGACTCCGCGAGGGTTGGAGACCAGCTGCTCTGTGCACCCTGTGATCCACACTGGGCCTGGTCCAGGGTGGTCCCAGGATCTTGCTACCATCCGCCTGTGCTGCTGGACACTAGGTAAAGCCCTGCAGTCCTCCAGCATCACCTGAGGCAAGACGGCCCCTCCCCCCAAGCAGTGCTGCACACCGAAGGAACTCCGGAGAGGCCTGTGTGAGGGCCAGGTAAGGAGTATAACCCCCAGCAGATGCCTGGTTTCCCCTAAGCGTCCATTTCCTTGCCCACCTGGAGCCAGCCAACCACTAGCATCCACTCGTGTCTCCCACCCCACACCCCAAGCTAAACCCACTCCCCTCCCTCTGCCCCAGGCTGAAAGTCAAGTCCAAATAACAAAGGGCCACAGCTCTGCCTCCAGAATCCAGAGGCCTGGCCCAAAGAGCCAGGCCAGGGGGTAGCATGGGGGACCATTTCCCAATTTCCAGCTGAGGGCCTGGTAGCTATCATATGAACAATAACCCTCAGGGCGTGGACCAAGCCGTAAGCCCCCTGCATACAGTCAGACCCTGACCTAAGCTCTTCCTGGCTGAGTGACCTTGGGCAAGTCTTTTAACCTCTCAAGTCCTCCAATTTTGCAGAGGGTCCTAGGGAGGATTGGAGTCCCTTAAACATTTAGCATCACGCCCGGCACCTGGTTAAGCATTCAGTAAATGGTGACTATTATTATTATGAGCTTCCTGGCATGCTCATGCAAGTTAGAGCAACTGAAATGACTTTGACAGCTCCCTAATGTAACACCTTCCACCCCCACCCTACCACCCTGGAGTTAATTAGAACCTTCTTTGGGTGTTTTCCAGAGATGGGATTTTATGCTTCTTTTGGGTTACAGAACTAGAATAAATGGAGGCAGGTTGCAGTTCAAGTGATAAAAAGCAAAAAGCTGCTCTGAGAGATAGTGAGCATCCGCGAGCAGCGGGATTTGGTGGGCCAAACCCCAGGGGCCATGAGGCGCTGTTCTGGAGCATCACCCTCTGTGCTCGTCTGCCTTACCGACAGTTGCACTGTAATTCCCTTGGAGGAAGAAGTGGTCAGAGACTCTACCGCTTGTGTCATTTGGCAAAACAAAAAAATCAGCAATCCTGTTTCAGTCATCAAGCTTTTTAAAAATTTTAAGTTTGATGTTTGGAGGTTCCTCAAACTGCTAAACATGCTTCCCTACGACCCAGCAATCCCACTCCTAGGTATCTACCCAAGACACCAAAACACTGATTCAAAAAGATACCTGCACCCCCATGTTTATTGCTGCTTTATTTACAATTGGAAAGACATGGAAACAGCCCAAATGCCCAAAAGTGGATGACTGGATTAAAGAGATGTGGTCCATATACACAGTGGAATATTACTCAGCAACCAAAAAGAGAAACACATGTCTATTGCAGCAACACGGATGGGGCTGGAGAAGATCATGCTTAGTGAGATAAGCCAGAAAGAAGAGGAAAAATACCGAATGGTTTCTCTCTTAGCAGGAGTATAACGAACCAGGCGGGAAAATGATAATGATGAACAGCTATATACCGGAGACATTTTTTGGGGTGGAGTGGGGAATGGGATCAAACACAGGGGGGGAGGGAAATGCACTGGACTATGGTGATGGCACACGGGTGACTTGGTGATGGGAAGCCCAAGGGGATTGCAACTGACATGGAAAAATGCACAAAATGATGTAAAAATAAACCATTATATGTAAAAAAAAATTGTTAACAGTTTGATATTGAAAATCATAACCCACTTCAGAGACCCCCAAGTGAGAGGTGGCCCTCAGGTGTCCACGTATGTTACAAATCTTTGAGGTTAAAACCTGGCTCAGTCATACAGAGATTTACCAGAATGTGCCATCGGGGCTGGGCAGTCACTGAAGAGTTCAAGCAGCGGGGAGACTGCAGATTAGGACCTGGACTGGTGACCTTGAGGGCTGGGGACACCACTGGGAAGGAAACGCCTCCGTCACCTCGGCCGCCCCCACCGCTATTCCTTGGCTTCAGCCCTTGGGGGACCTGCCCCAGAACACGGGCTGGCAAAGCAACCCCTCCTCTGGAAAAGAGGAAGTGGGCTTAGATTCCACGTCAAGTGAGGAGTTAGCAAGCAGGAACAGACCCAGAATCCTGGAACCACTCTGCCCCTTCCCAGTCCCAAGGTTACTTCCTTCTCAGGGACCTGAAAAATCAGGCCAGAACTCAGCGTTCCCGGAGGCTGCTGACATCTGGCTAGCTGACCCCTCGGGTCACTTGCTGTCTGTGTAGCCATGGGGCTTTCTAGTCTAAGGGCAAGAACAGCTATTTTAGATTAGTCCTTCTGGGTGTCCCCTTTGGGAAAGCGCTCCCAACCGAGGGACCTAGACTAGGGAGCCCCCAGGTGACCTGGATTCTGTCAGATGCGCCTCCCCATACCCCTGCACCCAAAAGAAAAAGGAGCTGGAGAACATGGAATCAAGTATACATTTTAAAAATTGTTTAATGAAACATAAACTCCTTTAGAAAAACATTCAGCCAGGTGATAACACCCATAGAAAAAAACACCAATCTTGTGTTTATCTTTTTTAATTTGGCATTTGTTATTTGCATTTATATTAAAGCAAAGTGCATCTTTTCTTTATTTTTCTTGTTTATACACATTGCACAATACATAAATAATGATGCTTATAAAACGTCTTTATATTTACAAGTAATAATATATTTATATATAACATAAAATACATTTTTCTTTAATAAATCTCAGTTTTTTAGGAGTCCTTTCTCTCAAAGCACTACAATGCTAAATTTCCAATGAGAATGCTTCTCTTGTTCATTTAAACCTTTGTAGTTAGAAAAATAGCTTATGTTAAAGTCTAAACATGCTCATTGAGCTAAGAGCAGTGTCAAAGGATCATACGAGTGTATGAGTTGTAGAAGAAATGAAAGAGTTAGGTGTCAGCCCAGGACGGGGCCTGCTCCCCTCGCTGGTCTAACAGCAGAGCTCAACACACAGGCTGGGGAGGGAGGAAAGTGCTGAGCTGGTTTTCTGAGTCCGGGAAAAACCTGATGTAACCAGGGCAGGGGAGAGAGAGGCTGGGGTGGGGGGCCTGAGAGGGCGCTGGGTTAGCAATACTGTGACGGGGCTGCCCTGGCAGCCCTCGGGAAGCCCATCTCAGAGAGATTCCAGGAGCAGATGGCCAAGAAACACAGACAGGACAGTGGCGGGGGACAGCCGGCGGGGGGGTTGACTGGAGGGTGTAAGACAAAAATGGAAACGACTGGTCTCTAGCAGGGCTTCGAAGAAGCCAGCGGGCGGGCCGGGGTCAGAGCAAGGGAGAGGGGCGCCGGGGCTCCCCCGGGCTGAGGGAAGAGCCCTACTTCCGGCAGCAGCTGATGCAGCCACCACTGCCAGGCTCGGCCAGGTCCACGGCCTTTTCCCTCCGAGAATGTCCACAGAGCAGGAGGGACAGTGCTCTCCGCAGGAAATACACAAGCGCAGAGACCCCATCTGACTCTCTCACCAGACACACACCCCAGCAAACAAAAAAAAGAACCCCAACCAGGGGTCCCTCATTCATACACTGGGTTTGGGGTACTCTGACTTTCGCTTCCCTGTTTCATTTTGGTTGTTCTGCCAACTCTACCAGTCCCCCTGCCCCAGGGGGGGAAGGGGTGTGGATGGGGGGATTCTGACAATTCTTTCCATAAGCTATTTCTCAAAGAACAAAACAAAGCAGAACATAAACAAGAACGACAAGATGGGGGGAGAAAACAACCAAAGAGTTCGCATGAAAAGCAAAAGCACTCAGGAGGAAAACATTAGCAGCAAAGTAGTTTGGACTGGGCCCGCTCGGCTCGTGCTCCGTCTGCTCCCCGTGGGCTACCGGCTGTTGAAGATGACCTCCAGCCAGCACGGGCAGCTGCTGATGAACTGGCGGGTGTAGCACTGGCCCCAGCCCTTCACGAAGCTGATCTGCACGGTGAAGCCCGTCCACGGCTGCTGCATGAACTCGTGGTCATTGGGTCGCTGCAGGCTGTACGCCTTCTCGTAGTCAAAAGCCTTGATGGAGAAACCGGGGAACACTTTGTGCACCAACAGCGTCCTGGAGTCCGGGTTGTCCAGTGTGGCTGACTTGATGAAGATGGGGTAACTGCTGCGGTTGTACACCCACACGCCGTCCACTTCCCGCGTCAGCTGGATGCCGCAGCCGATCTTGCTCCTCACTTTCTGCACCAGCTGACTCTTGTTGTCTGAATTGAGCTGTCCGAGGCAGAAGCCGTTCCCCTGAGGTAGATCATAGAAGATGTCCAGGGAGGGCTCCTGGACACAGTAGAGCCTCCCCACTCTCGTCTTCTCCTCCCAGTATGCCACCACGCACCAGTGTGACCGATCCCCAGGCTCCAGAAGAAGTTGGGAATCTACAAAACACAACAGCGGACATGGTGAGTGGGCTCCAGGACAGGCGTTTTCCTTCTCCTCTATGAGACACTCATGTACACACCACCCTGGAACCAGTCTGCCCTCGGGACGGGAGGCGGTGATGGAGATGCCCATGGCAGAGGCGTTACAGAACAGCCCCACCCCCCACCCCCCCGCACCTGCTACCAGGAGCCAGAGACCCTGACCCGTAGGGATCGCCCCATACCCCGACCTTCAAGACCCCGGGCACCAGCGGCGTGCCCATCTGGCCAAGGGAGGCACCGCCCTTACTGAGCTCAGCCAATAGGAGGTCCCCCAGCAGCCTGGATGGTCCAGCAGGAAGCCTAGAAAAGGCCCTGGTAGAGAGCCTGGAACTAGCTGTTCAACTGGATGAAACCTGGAAGGCTAGCTGTCCTGTGGGCCTCCCTGGTCATCATCCTGTGGAAACAGGACCACAGGGCTTGCGTCTTGAACCCCAGGAGGACACCACAGCCTTAGAAACGGGGCCTCCGGACTCCAGACCCACCTACTGTGACTATGTGGTCTCTGAGCTTGTCACCAAGTCTCAGATCAGTTTCTTGGTCGTGGGAGTGTATCTTGGGGAAAGTAAAACAATGGCAGTTTGGGGCAAAAACATCTTTGAAAACAACTCTCAATGTGTCTGTCTGCAGCCGCACTCACACAAAGGGCGAATTCATGTCAAAATGCCAAATCACCACACACAGATGGGTGCTGACCCAGACTCCCTTAACGAGGCTTCCACAGTTCAGACAGATGCTGTGTCTCAAGTGGGCACCAGCACCCCTGAGTGCCCTGCCCCCAAATGGGCGCTAGGCCCCCAAAGTGCCCTGCCCCCAACTGGGTGCCAGACCCCCGGAGTGCCCTACCCCCAACTGGGTGCCAGCCCCCCGGAGTGCCCTGCCCCCAAATGGGCGCCAGCCCCCCGGAGTGCCCTGCCCCCAAATGGGCGCCAGCCCCCCGGAGTGCCCTGCCACCAAATGGGTACCAGCCCCCCGGAGTGCCCTGCCCCCAAATGGGTACCAGCACCCCGGAGTGCCCTGCCCTCTCCCCAGCAGCCTCACCCAGGCTCCCCTAGGCTCTCTTCCTGGGGCACCAGGGACGTGCGTGATTCTGTAAGGTGACTATCCTACTCGGGCACTTAGAGGCCTTTAAAGGGGAGATCCTCACGGACAGAGGGGGAGCCCCGGCGGCTGGCATTCCGATTCCAGCGATTCCAGCCTAAGCAGGCGCCAGAGGGGCAGGCCTCAGAGTGGGAACCATAAATCTCCCCAGCCCAGGCTGGGCCGGGCTGCAGGAACGCTGTGGTTTGCGGTGGCAGGGCGGAGACCGGAAGTCTTGTATTTGTTAACAAAAATGGGGAAAGGGGAGCCAGGCAGCAGAGAGGCCTCATCCTGTCCTCCCCTGCAACCCTTGTCTCTCACTTTCTGGGGGGCTTGGAGCCAGGGGATGGCTGAGGTGCTTTCTGGTTTGCTCGGCTTTTTTTATTTGGAAGCTACCGAGTTAAAAAAAGGTCCATGGTGATGGGTTATACAGGGTAGTGGCCAGGACAGGACAGCAGTGCGGAGGGGTTGGGGGCCCTGCCCTGCCGCCCCAGCAGGCCGGGTAACCCGGTGCGACTCAGCACATCAACTCCTCCAGTGCTGCAGGCATGTTAGGACCTGGAAGCCAGTCAGCTCCATTAACTTTTTTTTTTAAGCAGCAGCCAGTCTTGCATGGAGGTGTCCCATGAATAAGCCTGCACAAATGTGCAATGGGTGACCCAACAAAAGTGGGAGTCTCCTGCAAACACCCCAACAACTGGCTTTCTCAAATGCCTGCCAGGCAGCTACACAAAATGGGGAAGCTGGGGGCTCATTCCTTTCCCTCAGTCTCCGCCCCTCTGAAAATCAACACCAGAAAACGGGCCTGTCACCCCCCACACACTCGCATCTGTAAAATACAGGCGTGTGCCCGTGAGTGTGAGCACACACGAGCGTGCACACTGGAACATATGGAAAAACAAGAGAGGGACAAGGCTCCAAGCAGAAGGTGACTCATCAGGCATTAACTTGTTTCTGCAAAGTATCCATCAACTGCTAATAAACTCGTGAGCTTTGGCAATCTTTGAACTTTCTTGCCGAGGGAGCTCAGCTCTGAAGGCCACACCGGAGATCCACGTAAATAAGAACACTGGCATGCACACGTTTGCTGGGACAGAGAAAGTCTGATTCTGGAAGAGGCAGGGTTGTCTGCCTGGCCCGCGTGGGGGAGGAGGGTGTTTTGAAATGTAAGAATCTCTTGCTTATTATCCCAACTGGGGACAACAATCGCAGCCAGGAAAGGAAGACTCAGGGCGTTGCTGGAAGGGACCCTCAGGGACCCTCACAATACTTTATTTCACAGAATCTAGCCCCCAGAAACCTGGCACCCCTGCAGGGAGGAGAAATAGTGGGTGGGGTGGGGCCTGGGATCGAGGTGCCCCCATGCCATGCCCACAGGCAAGGGGTGGGGGCCTAGTCTGCCTGTCGGGCCTCTGGGGGCAGAGGAAGCTGGGCGGGGCCTGGGCCACCCCCACCCCAGGTCGTGTGGAGGGAGTGGGGGGAAGCGTTCTGGCGGGTTTCTCTTTCATCTGCACAGCCCGCCAATCCACCCAGCAATTTGCTGCCAGACATACCCTGGAAAAAGCCTTTGCTGTTGAGGTTAATGGCCCAGCCCAGATAGACAGCAGTGTGTGGGTGTCCCTGTGTTCATGAAGCCCCACTCGGTGCCTAATTCACCCCCCAACCCCGCAGGACCCCTGCCAGCTCCTTCCCTCACTCCAGGTCACCCCAAGCCTCCCCTTGCCTGTTCACACAGCCCCACAATCCTCACTGGTCCTAGGCTAATTCTGAGTACAGAAACGTGCTCTCCAGCAAAACCACCAAGCAACAGCAGAAGCCCCCTAACAGGTCACGCTACTGGGGGCGCCCTACAACATTCAGATCCCCCCCTCCTGGGCCCTGAATCACCCCTCATTTGGACTCACTTCTAGGAAGTGCTCAGCACCACCTTCAGAGAAACACAGTTCCCTGAACTGGGCGCAGGGCCCACAAGTGGCTCCCCACAAAGACCTGTGCAAACAGCTGAGCTCCTGGGGGCCCCCAGGCCTGGGGAGGATCTCACGCAGAAATCTCCCTTGTTGTAAGAAGGGGGAAAGAGTCCCAGCAGCCCACCTCTGTCTTCCTATGGCTGCTACCACTTCACTCTAGAGGCAAAACTCAAAGCCAGAGTGATTTCCCTCTATTTTATAACCTTTTCAGGTATTTCCAACTCTTCTCCTCCCCCTCGAACACTCCCTCAAAAAACTGTACAGGGGCTTGTTTTAAAACTGTATTTGTGCATTTTAAAGCATCCAAAAGAAAAGCTGTGTTGTAAAAAGCCAACTAATCAGATGCCTGCTCACAGTTTTTTTCTTTTTATTACAGTTTAGGGAATTTTTGGAGCAACCCCAGAAAAATGCTGAATCGGCCTAAAATTCCTTCAAGGTTGTCTTCCACCCAACCCTCCCCCTTCCCATTTCCCTTAAAGCATCAAATCTCCCCTTTAAGGGAAAGGGGAGGCGGTGGGTGTTGAGAAGGGAAGGATTTCGCCCGTGTTTGCACTTACATTAGGGAAGACCACTTAACAAGGAGCTCCATGCCCCTTACAAAGAGTTATTTAATTACCCTGGTCATGAATGAACAGACCAGAGACCCTTCCAGAACACCAGAGGCTCATGAATGAATCTCACGCCCAGGGTGTCTCAACGGCACAGGGTGACCAGACCTTGAGGCCACATTTTAAGTGAGGAATGTTCCCCTCTTAATATTTTTATTTGAAGGTGTGAAGAGATGAAGAAAAATGAAGGGCGGGAGGAAGCAAAGGCTGAATCAATCCAAATCCAGTGGCCCCACGGTACCATTTCTGTTCTCCAGCTTGAAGGGAACCATGAGCTGAGAGGCAGAGCTTGTCTAAAAATACCCAGCCAGGTTCCAAGACACTAGGGGACGATCTGTGTCCACACTCAGAGGTGGTACTGACAGGGGCTGGGGTCCCAGAGAGCCTGACCTTTCAGGACAGGGGCACCCCTAGGCAAGGAAGTAAGCAGCTGGCACCCACTCTTCCATACACCCTACCAACAGGCACGTGGGGAGTAAATGGACCAGGGCATGGAGCGGGGTCTCAGCCTGCTCTCATTTCTCCAAGGCACTAGATTACGAAGAACTGCTTCAGGACAGGCCTGCAAGCCCCTCACCAGAAGCCCAGCGAAGCAGGAGGCTGCAGATGGGGATTCAGTGGCCAGGGGGGACTTGGGCAGCCAGGGGCAGGCAGGCCTCACCCAAGGGCACACAAGTAGGCACAGCAGTTAAACCCAGCAACCCTGGAGTGATCGCATCGCCACACTGCCAGCAGAAGGTCAGGGTACTCCGTCCCCAGGGCTCAGGCGCCACCACAGGTTGCCTCATCCTGTCCTTCACCAGACAACTCAAAGGTTAGCAGCACCCTTCAGCCCTGTTCCCACCCTGTTTAGGAAGGACAGTCGCTGTCCTGAAAGCCACCAGGCTCACTTCAGGGACAAGGCCCCGCTGCCAATCCAGTCTACCTATTCTCACCACCAAAATTCGTGAACAGACCAGCCCCCTTGGGGGGTCCTTGTTCACAAGAGGAAACTAACCAAAATGTAAAACAAACACAAAAGGTTGCTGAGCTGTCAGGGTTCAGCGAGGGCGCTGGGGTCGGTTTTACGATGCTCTGTTTATAACCTCTATCCGGAACGTTGAAGGTTGAGCCAGGGCTCCCTCTGATTCCTAAGGCAGCATCTGGGGACAACTCTGGGGTTTAGAGCAAACTCTCCACAGGGGTTGAGACAAACTTGAAACGTTCCACATTAACCCTCGATTACACAGAATATCCTCAGCCCTAACTGGTCCTTTACCAATTGGATCAGAGAATGAACTCTGGCTGTAGAGGCCGGAATGGG